GTGTCAAAAGCTTGTAAATAGTAAATACTACATCTTTACCTCTCACTGAACCAAACTTTGGAAGTTTGCAAATTTGGGCAATTCCTATTGGTTGGCTTATAGGCCACACTCACCAGACCTTCTAAGGCTAAATGGTAAAATTGGTCCATAAAATTCTTACCATACTTTATCTTCATATTTTGTTATTACAATCAAATCAACAATAATACTAAATGGCCACGACTCATATATAAGATTCATATCGGAATTTGAAATCTAGATCCGATGCTTAACGATCTCGACATTTCTTTACCTCCCCTGCGACATGAACATGTCATTCCAACATGTTTTGTTATCACTTATATAAAATTTGCGGGAGGTCACCAAAACATAGAATTGCTCCAAGCAAACCACGCTTAACCATATAGTCTTATTAACCATCTTATTCTCAAGATTACTCTCATTTGAATATGTGGTCTGGATTTATTCATGTACCTCTCATTTACTCGATTGTCACATATATAATAATAACTTTTTTTAAAAAAATACAGTTATAAAATATATAGTCGTCTCCAATGATCGGGGATTCAAATCCTATATGTTTTTCATTAACCATTTGATCTTACAAATTAAAAAAAAAAAAAAAAAAAAGATTTATTTGACTAATAAGTTTCTTAATATAAAATTGTCAGTTACATGGTTGTAACGTTTCAAATAATAATGTGTGAGAGATTCGATGAATGATTCAATAATGGTGTGGAGGATGAGGAGAGTGGGGTCATTTGGATTCAGATGTTTGTCTCACCCCCCTTCTCTCCTTCCCTATTCCTCCACAGTCTTCTGCATATTTTCCCCCATCTATCCCTAAAACGCCCTCCTACTTTTCCAAATATTACCATTATGGCACTCCCCTGAATTCCTTTTTCATACCATACCCCTCGCATTTGCTTTATTTATACTTTCACCCCCCCGATTCCTTCAAATTATTTCTTGGGATTGATGGGTCCGCTGGATTGCCTTCCATACCAGTAAATAGGAATTTTATGGAGATCCAAACCTCTCTATTTTAATTTTAAAAGAATTAATTAATTAATTAAACAAGAATAAAAAATCCCACTGACTTAGACTTTCCATAGAAAATTTAAATTCCAAACAAACCCCTACTCTTTAAAAATCTTTATGTTTTTTCCTCCTTTGACCACAAAACACAAAGAAAAGAGAGAAATTTGTACATGGATTGAGATATGACAGCTCTCTGTTTTTTCTCGTTTTTCGTTTCGATTTTATGACCTTACTCCACTTCACTTCCTCCCCCATTTCTGGCCGGCGATGGCCGTAGTCCTCCTCCATCACCACCATAACCACCACCGTCGCCGCCGTCTTCCTACCCTTTTTCTCTTTGCCGTCGTTCTCCTCCTCGCCTCCGCCATTGCCGCCCGCCCCACCCCCATCAGTAAGTTTTAAGAAAAAGAGAATTCATTTCCAATTCTTTCTTCTCAACCCCATCTCTCAATTCCTCTAATTAACCCATGTTTTGGGTTTGTTTGTGGTTTTCTTTTGGAACAACAGAGGAAACACAGTTGCCGACCGGAGGAGAGGAGCGAGTTGTGACACGGCGGAGACTCAGCGGGCCAGGGTCATCACCTCCTACTTGTAGATCGAAGTGCGGCAGTTGCACGCCCTGCACGGCGGTGCACGTGCCAATTCATCCTGGACTGAGTTTGCCATTAGAATATTACCCAGAAGCTTGGCGGTGCAAATGCGGCAACTCGCTTTATATGCCATGAAATCTTAGGGAAGCTCTGTGACAAAACACTCTACTCTTTATTCCTTTCTGTTTCTTCTTCTTCTTCTTCTTCCTCTTTGTCAAATATATTCCGCTTGATTTTTATGCCAATCTTAGTCACTTCAATGGAGGATTTTATGATTTCTTTTTTGGGTTTCACAATGGCTATATGGTACGGTCTTATCAAAACTCCAAATCGTCCATTGATTTTTGTTTCGCTGCGTTGGGAAAGTAATTTAATGAACTTTGGAAATACAATAGTTTTTCTTTTTCTTATTACACTTTTCCCTTTCACATTAGACTAAAGAACCAATTTTTACTCATCATTCAAAATTTTTCACCTTTCTCTCTATATTTTCTTACATAATATGTACATAATGGCCTGTGTTAGTTATTAATGGGGTGGAAAGTTGTTTTTTGCTTGACATTTCGAAAAGGAGATTGAGGAACAACATTCCATGTGAAGGGGAGGAATAAATATAGGTTATCACATTACTATTATTAGGGTAGTAAGAGTTAAGTGGCCAAAAAGGTTGGGAAGAAGGAAAGCAAAATATAAGACCCTAGTCCATTAGAGAGAGGAACTGAGTGTCAGCGAGTACATTGGACCTCGAAGGGAGTAGATTCTGAGATCTCACATTGGTTGGAGATGGAGAACGAAACATTCTTTATAAGCGTGTGGAAACCTCTTCCTAGCAGACGCATTTTAAAAACTTTGAGGGAAGCTCGAAAAGAAAAGTTAAAAGAAAACAATATCTATTAGTGGTAGGCTTAGATTGTTACACAAAACGAGTCAAGTATTTAAGGTAGAAAGTAGATGAAGAGAAACTAGGATGGAAGAACCTAAATCCCTACCTCTTGGTCAATGAATTTTAACTAATTGAAGTATGTTTAGATGGACAAATACTTCGAATTTTGTTAGTTTAAAGGGTATGTTTCACGATTTTTTTTACCTAAATAACGTGTTTGGTTTGGTGTAATATTCCTGTCACTTTTTCTTTCTCAAAAGTGAATGAAATTCAATCTCTTTCATCCCCTTTCCCTCTCTCCTGAGTCGATAGACAATGTTCAGAAGACCCTCTATTATTATCTCCATTGAAAACTTGACCTTTTCTTCCCCTTTTACTCTACTTTTTCTATAAAAATTCTTCTAGGATTAGGGTTCAAGGATATCTCCAAGTAAGAATATTTCACAGTCCAAAACACCTCTGATAAAGATGGAGGATTTTGTTTGAGACTTTATGATAGTTTCCTATTGTAATCCTCAGAGTATGGAACATTGAAATCACTATTCACAAACTCATAATTTCAGATACAACAATATATGCTCTTAAAGCTTCTTTGAAACAGAAAAAAGTGAACAAATAGAGGGAAAAGATTTATCTAAATGAACACATCTTAACCTAAAAAAAAATTCACAAACACGAGAAGAAATCAACATCGACACTGACTTAGTTCAAACTCGTAAATCTAGAAAGAACATAACTTTGACCTAATTCCAGAATTGGAATTTAAAAAGATACAAATGAGGGTAAATTAAATTTAACCAAAGAAAGAAAAACGTGTGAGCAGTGGACTAGAAATTATAACGTATGGTACGATGCCAAAAGAGGAGACTCTAAACAAACAAAAGTGTTCATAAATTTGTGACCTAATTCCAGAATTGCCCTTGTAGAAATGTTTATATTACTTGGTTTAGAAATTTATTTTATATATATATATATATTATCAACAACCCAGTTTTCCCCCCCTCGTGCATGTGCCAGTATTGGGCCAAAAATTTTCAGCTCCCACGTGGGGCCATTCCCACTGCTGTCACCCTATTTTATATACATGTATTTTACGTACAATTTCTTTAGAAAAAGGCAAAAAAATTACAAAATAAAAATAAATAATTATATAAAAATTGGGGTCCGGAGAGTTTTGAATGGTCCATTCTCTCCTATTCAAATTATATTTCATTGAGACAACCCCAAAATTTTATTAGATCGGTCTAATTTAAAATTGAATTCGAGTTTATAATTTACTTTATTTTGTAGAGAAGAAGATCGTGAATGTGTAATGTAGGTGGGGAGAGACAGGTTGAAAAAGAAGATGTGAAAGGTGGGGGCCATTACCCCATTCCTCTCGCCATCTTCATTTGGTTTTAGTTCTCAGATGGGTCAAAAAAAAAAAAAAAAAAAAAAAAAAAA